TAGTTAACCCGGTGCATACTTCATCAGCATCTTTAAACACCTCTGGAGTCATATCAGGTTTCGCATTTCAGACTAGAAATCAATGTATGAATCTGCTCCACAGCATGTTCAAAGTAATGAGAACATGCAATCAATCAAATATCCGTAACTATATCATCTATTCTCATATCTATTTCCCAATAAATATATATATATATATATGTATATATACGGATGCAAACCTTCAGTGACTCTAAAAGTTAAGTGACTGTCGAATGACTAAAAACTCACGATTACTGCGAAATTTCGATTTATTTCACAGTAACATTCGGTAATTTTAATGCGGAATAACATCATTTAGTATGAATAACTGAAAGCTTAGCGGTGTAACAATAACAACAATCTAAGTCTAAAGAGAACTTCGCTATCTGAATAAGATATGATGATAATTATTCCCAATAATTATTGTACCAGTATACTTCCACCTGCTTAATGATACAGGACTGCATAAACGACTTCATGATTTGTGAGTAGCTACAAACATCTAGAAATTCGGACAAGAGATGAAAATTATTATTTTTGATAATAGCCATAATGCTGAATGCCAAGTAATCCACAACGGGAAACTCACGGAACACTTCGAAATGAAAACGGGAGTAAGATAATGCTGCCTACTATCTCCACTGATTTTCCTGATTGCGGTAGACTAGATAATGTGACAGACGACGGGCAACGAGGAAACAGGCACAAAATTGACCCACACAAAAAACAATTCGAGGATCTGAATTCCACCGATGACATATATATGTCTGATTTCTCACAAACTGGAGGATATACAAGTGAAAAGCAACAAGTTGGCAGAAGAAGCATCAAAGATAGGACTTACTTCAGATGAACATAGAGAAAACAGCTGTGGTAATGAAGATTCCTGGCCAACAGCAACAGCTACAACAACTAGCCAGCATAAATGGAAGGAATCTGAAAGAAGCAACATCCTTCAGCTACCTACCGACCTACCTGGGAAGCATCGTCGTTTCAACTACAAGCGGACGGAACTGATGAACACACCAAAGCGAGGAGCATCGAGAAAGCAAGGCAAGCTTTCGTTACTCTCAAGTCTGTGTGGAGATCAACAGCACTCAGCATGAAAAATAACATCAGCATTTTCAACTCCAATGTGAAGTCAGTCAGTGCTACTCACCATACGAATCAGAGACTTGGCGCAGCGCCGCGTCACAAAGGGCACTTCAAACGAACTACACACTTTCATCAACAGCTGTCTTCGCTCAAGATCAGATGGCCGGCCAGAAAAGATCTCTGGCAACGAACCAACCCAGCGGGAACCAATTGTGCAACAAATATGCAGGAAGAAATGGAGGTGGGTTAGCCATACTCTGAGAAAACAAACCATCAAGTGAGTGACATCACACACCAGGCCATCACTCGAGTGGAACCCGAATGGGAAGCGGCGAGTTGGTCGTCAGGGAAAGGGTGGGGTGACATGGAGAAGGCCATGCGAAGAGGAGATGAAAGCATGTGGGTGGACGTTGAGCTAGGTGGAAACGGTTGGTGGAGGACCGAACGCAATGGAGACGTTCGGCTGAAACTCTATGTTCCTCTAGGAACTAAAGGAAACAATAATAATATAATAATTGCCATATAAAACTATTTAGAAAAACGAAGTTCCGATTAAGTTGATCTTCCGCATAAGTTATCTATCCGGAAAAGTTGTTTAACATCAACACTTCTTAGTATCTGTCAGACAAAATATCAGGATGAGCTCACACATTAACACAGTGATACACAAACCGAAAAACAACCTTCAAATTCTTCCGTCTGAATTGAAGCAAAGATACCACTGTTTTTCGCTTATATAAGCAGAATTCATGCAGATAAATAAATTTGAATACAATCTTAATTAATGACATTATATTCCATCTTAGATATAAGTAAATAGATATCTATAGGTGTCTAAAGGGTACTATGGTGTCGTGAGGAGTAAGCCTAATCCAATATCGCTTTTAAGAGCTAGTATAAACCAATTTGATTTCTTTGTGCTCGCCTCCTGATTGTGAGGTATAGGTTCCTGATCTTCGGTAAACTTCTGAGTAGCTCGTTCCGCCACTTGACTGTCATAGCTTCGGTTGACTCCCAAAGGATTAGTGCTGGGATTAATTATATGTGGTTTGTAGTATGAGGTGTGTTAAGACTGTTACTGCTGTGAATGGAGTTGATCCTTTCACCAGTTAGTCCTCCGGTATCGTCATCAAAAGAAAAGAGACAATAATAATAGTAATAATAGATATAATTAGTGAAGTTATTCAGACTAACAGACAGAAAAACAAATAAAGATAACGTAACAACAGTCAGCTGATTAAATTTGTAGAATAATATAAATTATATACATACATTATATATATATATATTATATATATATATATATCGGAAATAATGACAATAATAAGTGTAGTTAAAGTTGTCAGGAGAGTAAGACGGAAGAGAGAATGTAAAGATGTAAAACGATGAACTTAGTTATCTACCCCTGAATGATGTATGGGATTTTAAGGGGATAGGCCATTTAGACGCAGTCCTTGTGTCTCTGAATGATTGTCCAGCCTTCGCTTAAAGGCGTCCACAGACGGTGCCATAGCTACATCTGCCGGCAAGGAATTCCAGGGACGGCAAACCCACAGTGAAAAGAAGTGGGAGCACACCCGGGTCCTTGCCCTCTGGTGAGCTATCCTTCTGGGGTTTCCACGAGGGGGCCTATACCTACTCAATAGCAGAACACCTTTGTTTGGGTGATTCCGATCATTTGTTATTTCGTAGGCAGTAATTAAATCCCCTAAGACGACGGCAGCTAAGTGTGAATAGGCCTAATTTCTTTAGCCTTTCACCATATGGTTTGTTTCGGAGACCAACCACTCCTTTTGCTGCCCGTCTTTGGACTCTTTCCAAGAAGTTAGCGTCTCTTCTAAGCAGTGGGGGTGCAATAATATTATGCAATTCAAGGTGTGGTCCGACGTATGTTTTGTACAACCTTAGAAAGAGCTCAGGAGTGATTGCACCTAACTGTCTACCATCGTTCACCAGTAAAATGTGACTCACATCTCGGAATGCACGTAAAAAAATCAGAAACACCTGTATTTTACACACTAAGATTTTGAAACTTACCCAAAAGAACCTAGTGACGGATGAGGTGAGTGGTGTTGGCAATCCGTTGTAATATTAGAATTAAGCGTGTTGAGGGGTGAACCAATAAAGAATGCCTCCTCTTTAAACATCAGTTGGCTAATTTCATGAGGATTTTCCAACCTATTCATTATTTTTTTTCCAACTTTGGCATGGACTAGCCAACAGGGAAACACAATCGGTGTTATGGCTCAACCTAACCAGTCTAGCGGTACTTTCCCGGATTCCCAGACATTCTTTAATATCTTAGTTAGCTCAGTGCATAATTCATCATCATCCTCAAACACCTCTGGAGTTATGTTACCAAGTTTTGCTGCTTTTTTGTGTTGCAGATTAAGAACACCTGTAACCTGTGTTGCATGTGGAAGACTAACGTCTAAAACCAACATAGCTGGCCAGATTTAGCGTGGCTGTAATCCAGTCAAATTGCTTTATTATGTACCCCTTATCCAGCAATATTATCTTTTCATTATCATATCCACTTAGTTTATGTATATCTTCCTTCCCACATATATCTCACTATTAATTAGTATTTACTGATTGCTGTGTAAAATGAACGTCTTTCTGATCTTTCCCAAGTTATCACTTCTAAATTTTTCCTTGGTCAGCATTATCAGTGCATTTCCGGCAATGTACTGCATACTTCACAGTGGTCAAACCTTAATGAAATCCCGAATCATTGTCATTATATATCAAGATGATACGGAAGTAGGCAGTACTTTGGATTAAGAATGTAATTTCACTTATTCTAATTCTTACACAGCTGCTGGCTGGCTGGATTCAACATAGAACTTGGCATCGAAGTGCAGCAGTTCGAGTTGCCACGTTACAAATCGCACACAAAGGTAGAGAGGAAAATGAGAGAAGAGAATCAATAGAATTTAGATAAGTATAAGAGTGAAACAGAATGAGTAATGGTAGAAAGGAATATGAGACAGAATATTACAGAGACTGAATACATCTACACCATTGACAACGATTTTGAGCCATGTCACCTATTGTCTCTAGCCATTGATTCTTAGAGTCCCGAGGGCCCCGACCCGGAAGTCTCCATCTCCCTACTTGACTCAGTTTAACTGTCAGGGATTTCATGGACTGTTGCCATGTTTTTTCTTACACAGCACATGTAACGGCAAAGACGTGGTAGCGATCTTCAGTCTTACGGGTATGACAGTTAGACGATCAGTCACTATAAATACTCCTGAAAAAAATATTTGAATACTAGAAGACAGTTAAAGAATACACTCGGGGCGAACCCACCAATGACCTTGGGTCTGCCAATTATGCTAAAAATGCTAATTCGGTTCCTTAATTCAGCCATTACGTAACCTACTCTTACCTAACTCTACTGCGGCCTTAACGTAAACCTAGCCTGGCTTTAAAATAGGAAGACTAGCTGCTTTTACTGCATTTAGTACTTCTCTTATGAGAATACTGTTATTCAACTGACTCCGCTGCCTGGTTTAGATCAAGATTTCCAAGGCCATTCTCGCGTTCATTCCTCAGGGTGTCTATTCTCTACCTTCGCTAACATAATCACATGACAGCGGTTGAAAGATTTGAGGATCATGACTTACTCTAATTCTAATATAATCCCCTACGTTGATGAAGTACCGAACTGATATGTTCAGTCATCTAGTCAAAAGTTGGCTACTTTGAGGACGAAGAAGTCAATGTAACCTAAGCGCATTACACCCAGTTAACTGATTTTTTTTATTCTAATGAAACAATAAATACTGTCCACCTGTCCTACTTGCTTTCCAAATGATTTACCGTCTTTAAGTCATGCTTACAAATCTTAAGTTCATTTCCGAAAACGTTATACCTACCACTGCCTATAACTTCACTGTTTTGACTTTCATCGTAATGGTTATGTCGCGCATCCATATCTGTCTCCATACTCTGCGAGACTTCTTTATCTATTTCCATAACACCTGCTGGATATGTGTCTGAAAATAAATTACTGAGCAGCCCCAAGAAACATATTACCTTCTTTCTTTATATTCATAAAGGCTTCCAAATTTTTAAGATGTCTTTCTTGTTTGCGCATTAAATCAATAACACGTTGTTGCAACTCGGATGTCATTTTGAATGCCAGCTGCAAGTTAGCTAAATCCATTTCACCTGCCAAGATGTGTGCATTCTGTATCTAAGACAAAATTATACAATTCAGCTCTATACTTACCGCAGCAGCGTATAATTTTAGTTTCAGGTCTACTGAACAATATTCCATAGTCAATTCCAGCTGCGCGCTATAAATTTTGATACGGTTGTTCCGCTCTCACTGACCTTGAATTCCTCCAATGCTTTCAGAGGCTCAAATCATCGACTGAACTTGTCTTGATGTACAGTGATCCCAAATGTTGCATTTCACCTCATTTTTTTTCTGTTACTGCCAAAATTAGTTATTTGGTTTTTTTCGAAAGCTTTAACCGCCAGGTCAGTTCATTCATTTCATTGTAATTGTTCATACGTTGCATTCATGCGTCGTTTCTGTGTTTTCACTGTTTTTCAGCTGTTTGTGAAATAGTACTGTGTAGAAGTTTTTTAAATTATGCACATGAACCTGTTTGGGTGGCAGAAGCTGTTGTTTCCAGTTCATTTGTTGGTTATCGTTATAACCAATGGTCCAATTGGTTACTTAATATGTAGAATTCTCGAAAAAAACTATATCTTTCACATTCTAGTTTGCAGCATGCAGCAATCTACGAGTCACTCTAGTGAAAAGATCACGATCAGATTTTTTTTACAGCTTGATTATATCGGGTGTGCGTCGGGGGGGATCGAACCTCGGACCATGTGCGTGGTCGGCGAGAGTCCTAACCACTGTGCCACCGACGGTTGACAGTAGCAAGGTTTTCGGAAAGCATGTTAAACCTGGAGTGCGTCGGTGGCACAGCGGTTAGGACTCTCGCCGACCATGCACATGGTCCGAGGTTCGATCCCCCACCGACGCACACCCGATATCTATGGTCGGCCTACTAAATTTGGGCTACCGATATCACATGCTGAAAATTTCATACTTGTACCAAAAGGAGCACTGTGTGGAATCAAGCTATAATAAAATATAAAATAAATAAATAAATTTAGAACCTGGGTTGAAGTTGAAAAAGCTCTGGAGCTTTTCTAGAAGATGAGTATTCCATCAGCGCGTCTATTATCAGTTAAAAACACCTGATATATTGTGAGAAGATCTAATTTAAACAAGGATGAGCCACATGTGAATTATGAATATGTGGTGCTTGTATGTATTTTTGAAAACAAGAGGAAGTCGGAAGACAATCACATTCGTCTCAAAGGATAAGTGTTTCCTATGGTTGTTAATGCCTAATGTACCAGACCCAAACACATGAACTAGAATTGTTTGTAGTAAAGCAACTGTTACCAGCCATTCAGTATGTCGCAAAATGATTTTAAAAGTACATAGCATACGATGATCTCGTGAGTGTACGTGTTATCCCAAATAAAGGTAAGACTTTAATTTCAAGGAATAACGATTCGGATTGTGGCTTGCAATCGGTTGTTTTTTCGAAGCTAAGACAAGCTGAGAAGCTGATTATTACTCGGGGAGAAGACACTAGCTGAATTCAAATTGCTTGTTTCAGTTCGAATTATCGAATTCCTACTTTTTGGATGTTTGTAATTTCTCCTTGGCTATAAATATTTATGTCCATATTGATTTAGAAAACTTTAAATGAATTTTCCTTGAACCAATGGTCCTCCTTTTCTTGGCAAAATATTTGCTGGCACGTTGGATGAATATATAGCAGAGTAGGATGTTCTGTAGCTGACAACCATAGTCGTTATGTTTCGGATAAATACAACGCGTCTAACTATCATTATCCCAAGGGTGCATTATATCTGGAAGTCAGAAGCATACAGTCCTCAGTAGATTTATTTTTACTTTCTAAGTGACGAGGAATAGTGAATCAGTTGAGGCGTTGTGGTGATAGGATAAATGACTACAAACGCTTTCGTGTAGATTAGGACATATTCATATTTTTTGACCAGGAGACGATCTTTGTACCCAGGCAGTTTTCAGGATGTCAAATCTTACTTCGTCATTCAAAGATAACATTAAGTTGCCTACTAAGGTAGTAGCTAGAGGAGATTACCTTCAGTGGGAACAACTTTAAGGTAGCTACGTAGCTTTAGGTAGTGTATCATAGAAGTAAGCAGCGTGCGTTGGTTATATCTAAATATATTTAAAGTTTTATAAGTGGTCAAATCGTAGTTCTTACATACTACCTAGTCTTAAAAATAGTGAATGTACCGTACGAGCGTTTACTTTGATTTACACACCTGGCTCATAAACATTATGCCCGATGATACGCTGCGTGATTAGTTCAATGTATCACGCTACTATCACGATTAAAGCAAGGAGAACAGCTAAAGCAGGATAAAGTTCTAATTAGATTCATAAAATCGTAAGTAATTTATTATCCATAAAGTAGATATGCAAATACTGCAGTTTTTGATCATAAAAATTATGGATATTAGATCATTTCAAATGACTGAATGGCATATCAGAAATAAATAAAAATTGTTTCTCAGCTCATTGTCGAGTAAACAGTCTATTTGATGATATCACTGCATATTAACAGATTGATGAAGTAAACATCAACCCTAGGTTACCACATTTACTTGTACTACACACTTGGCGTTTAAGAGTATACAGATTTGCAACTGGCTAGATAAGGCAACTTTAGCGTATCGAACAGAACAGAATTATTATCCAGCTTGCTAAGTTCTACTTAGTTTTAACAACGTGCTATTGAATAGAAACAGACGAGAAATCCTATGAATGACTAAAGTAACATTCTGATAATGCCACAGTAAATCTCCATCCCACTAAGTAAGCTTAACATGCATTAATCCAAATTCACATAGCGACGCACTGAAGAAGTGGAAACTAGCGGTATATTAAACATTTCAATAATTTAAAAAAGAGAATCCTGATGAAGGGTATTAGAGTTAGTTTGACCGATTGACATTTCTACTGATTTCATATTCGACGACCTCCATTTGCCTAAAAAAATTAAACACATGTAAGGACTAGCGCAACACGAGGTCATGAAAGATAATTTTACATATTAGTATACAATATGAATACACTGATTCTATTAATACTAAATAAAATTCTAATGCAAACAAAGGTGTTTGTTGTATACAGCCGGTTTTCACATTGACGCTGTATGCATAAACAGACCCCATATCCTTCCCATTATTAGAGGATTATGCACAAATTTCAAGACAAACCCTAAGATTTCCATAATCCTAGGGCGTTCTCTTATCAAGATTACTTCTAAATCAACTTCACAGTAAATACGTCTACGTCAAAAGAAGTATTGCAAATGTGTAACTTAAAAATTAGTCCGCAATCTCAGTAATGTCTAGCGAACATGGTTTTGTGAATCCTACAGGAATAACATTCTCAAATTTAGGAATCCATAAGCATAAAATATAATCTAAACATAAAGATCAGCAGACGTAAGTTGATGGGTTACTTTACAATGTCTGACGCATACGATGTGGAAATCGGTCATGAAAATTCAGCATAACTAGTTCTGTTAACCAGATGTTTTCTTCAGGATCATTGTACATAATTTTATCACTGATTGTTGCACTACCAATTCCACTCTGCTAAATAGACTATAACTTGGTTGCTGCAGTACCAGCTACTTCTCTACTTTATAGACTTTTGAGAGAAACCTAATTTCCTAGTCGTTTGTAACAAATACTTATACACACTTACGCATGTATGAAGGTGGTACTGCTAAGAATGTCCTCAAGTGTCGATGTATATGGTGACCTAATTGGAAGCACTTGTCATGAAAGCTATTAATGTGCAGCATACTGTACCATTAAGATGGGCGCAAAGACATTTCGATGCTGCAACTAAAGTTATCGCCGCAAATACCTCAAAGCTTAACATCTAAAAAGGAGGGAGTGTGGCACATGTTGGTCAGCAGATATGGTGGTGGTCACAAATGTGAATCACTCAAATATGTAGGACAGCAATGTTCACTTTCGACAGCTCTGGAGATAAACATGAGTCTAGATCCTTAACAAGAAAAAATGAGGCTTGTACAGATCTTAATTATAAAAAGTGTTTTCCCCCTACCATCTACAAGCCTTTTCAGCTTCTTGTCAAGATGCTACACATTGGGCCCTACAGAAATTCGTGAGTCGTTTTACAGGTCAGCTTGTCCTACGGGTTCTAATCTTCCCGATCTTTGAACTCACTTCTCACGGTAATCTTTTCAATTAGGCACTATTATACTCTATTTTTATCTTAACTACCTAGGCCTTTAATGAAGATAAAACTAACTCTTTGTTCGTATTTGTTGCTTGCTTAAAGTCTGCTGCTTTTATCAAAAGCACGACAACACCAGTGTTTGAACAAAGCCATAATTTCATCAAAAACGTCGCAGTTTCCAAGCTTAAACCAATATGGTTAGCATTAAACACTGCAAATGTGTTCTATCATTCCAAGGAGTCTCCACCACCTTCTTGTATGTATCTTGTAAGTGTACTTTCAGTGATGTATTATCCATAATTGTATTTTACGCCATTTTCCAGTTTCCCAGGGTTTTCTCCTTTTCCTGAAATAGGTTTTAATCACGTGGCGCCACATCACTCACCAAAATATACGCTGTTCACTGGTGTACCAAAAATGCCAGCACGAAAGGGAAAGAAGTTTCGGTTGTCGCTCAAATTTGATGGTGAAGTGTTAACAATTTAACATTTATAAAAACATGTTCTCAATGGCTGTAATTCTATACTAGTTTCTTTATTAGATGTATCACCGAGTGAAAAAGTATTATTATTTACTGGATGACGTTGAGAACAAAATTTATTGTTCATAATCATATCAATTATAATCACACGATTTTGAATCGTGATTTTTTAGTTTCATTTGTTCTCCCCTATTTGTCATCTTTGGGGCAGCAGAAATTTCCGGATATCTGGGACAGGTGTTGAATCATTCCTATTACACATATTTGCATTTGATTCGATAAACAAAGCTTCTGTTGTCAATCTTTCTCTTCACCCTATTTGTGTGTAAACTCTTTGAAAACAAGCTCATGGTACGATTTCTCTACTTCAGGAGGACATCAAACTGTATAAATCGGAACAACAGCATAAATAAGTACTATCATGCTTTTTTTCTTTTACATATTTTATGTAATTTGGCGTTTGGGTTTAACTTCTCCAATTTCTATTCCCATTACCCTATATAGGTGTGAAAATCATTATTCGTTTTGCCCTTATAATTTTTTAA